GGTTAAAGCTCGCGATAAGCGAGAACACAAACACGCGCAGGGTGTTTCTCACAAACAGTTTCCTCCGTGAAAAATTCCTCTTTGATATTGTGAGCTTCGCTGGGATTCTTTCTGTGACACGTACGACACGATACCACTGTCCAACCGCCGCGAACCACGCGACAAACTCCTCGTTCCCTGAATAATGCGTTACAGAAACCTTTGCGTTCTTTAATAACTTGTTCCAAAACACGTAACATTTACGGGGTAATCAGTTTCCACGAGATAGCTACGAGGTACTAGACATAATCCAGTTTATAAAATTATTAAATTATTGAAAAGACCCGTTTTATTAATATTAGATTATCGATAATGGGCAACGACTGTTTCATCGGTCTGGATTTCGAGTAACTTTCCAAAATTTGCAGATCTATTTAGAGCATCCAGCATCGAATATATTAGTATTAATTATTAGTATCACGTGACCTCGTTACCAATCAGAAGCTTTAATGGGAACGTGAAATGAATATGGAATTACAGAATTAACAGCGTGAAATGACGAACATTTATTATAATTAATGCGAATGTAAAGAACATAATTTTTGCCCTGTTTATGTAGATAAACTGCTTGGAAAGTACTGGTCTTCGCGAAGCCGGAATCGCGATAGAACTTTAAAATGCAGAGAGTAATAAATTCCAAACAATATCAGGGAAATAAACTGCGTTTCACCTATGCGTCGAAAGATGAATATTGGGAAAACATATTATCGCTGGGACTTCGATGTTTGATTCGGCCATTGTGAACGGGAACGAATTGTGCCAGTGATGTCTGGAATGGAGAATGTAAGTTTCGTAACTCTGGGTCTTCTTGGAACAACATGTCTTCGTCTGACGATTCAATGTTGAGGGCTTTGTTCGCAAGTTTGTATTGTTCGTAATAACTTGAGACTTGCAACGACGAAGATCACCTGGCGTAATTGAAATTGGTTATATCTGAATGCGTAAGGAATATGCATGTAATCGTTGAAATGACTAACGTTAAATCGTTGGTACAGCGTGGACGAAATCTCTCAGCGATATAATTCTGCAATATTTGTTGTATTTATTAATAGGAGAAGAAATCACCCCTCTATACTTTCGTGCTGGAATTTTGGAATCTTCTTCATTTTTCCATGATATAAAAATACCGTGATGAATGAATATTTTCGAGAGGGTAGCTTGCTGAAGGGACTCGAGAGTAATATATCTGACGAATAATAATATTATTATTCCATACAAGTGTCACAAGAGTGCTCGATAATAATGGTGCCTCTTTAGAATTTTAGAGAAAGACGAAAGAGGGGCGAGAAACACGTGGAATTGAATGGAGGCTTAAAAACAAGTCTACCATTCCTCGGGGAAACGGCGTCCGACGACGATAATTTTGTTTACCCAGCGTTGGTGACGCCGTCCCATTCATTTTCGTGGAAAATGGAAGGAATTGACGGGTAAAACGGAAAGCTATGGTGCGCTCTAGTCTCCACGGTTGAATGCAACTTTGAATATGAGTCGGGAACAATTGGTTCCTTTAATGAGATTGGCCGTGGATGTGTACGTGTACACACGTGACGCGGATACATTTCTGCACGCGATTCTTGCCACGCCGCGCCAACCGTCGACCGTCGAGCGAAAGATTATTAACTTGACTGACGACGCGAAAGTACCTTTATGGCCGCGGACGAATTTTCGCATTAATTATTTATGCAAGTCACGATTCACGGAAACTATAATAAATTGCCAGAGAAGTTGCCTTTTGGCCATCCCCCTGCGGGGGCGATTTCGTAGTCGGTACGGCGAGAGGTAATTTCGATGTAATTTAAAATATATTGCGTATCCCAGCGCGTTACAAAAAGCAAACAGCGACATTTCCGATAAAGTGAAATTCGTTAAAATCACAAACTCGAAGGTAATTAAATTGTATTAATTTAATTACCAATCTTAGGGCGGAGTATCAAGTTCTAGGCAAAAGGATTTTAATGTGCGCGCGAAATTTCGATTAAACGCGAGTTAAATTATCCGGGCCATCCGGCGTAGGAGTCGTACGTGTGTTAAATTCTCCTTTATTAAACCTCGATTATCCGGCGAGTCTCAATTTATCCGGGACTGTCTCGGCCCCGCTGAAGCCAGTTAATCGACCTATCACTGTATTACACTTTTAATCCATTTTTACACATGGAATAATTTCTGTTGGACACCCCCGTGCGTTACGTTCTTCTGAAATTATTATTTCCACCCCAATACCTATATGTACTTTGCATCGAAGGCAAAGATTAAAAGGGGTAGCTCGCATGCACCTGTCATACACGTAGCATACGGGTCTCTGCATGCTGGTATCCTACCGTTTACGGTCCTTGATACAGTACAGGGTTTAATTTATCCTTTTACAGGGATTCTATACTTTCCAAAATCCTATTTTTCACGTTTAAATTTCATTTTGCTTGGATACGTCGACCTATCAACTTATCAAAACCTTTTACCCAACTAACCGATTTAACCTACTCTTAGATATCCAGAAGTTGTACAGCGACAGTCTATGTCAGGCTCTTACGTAAATTAAGCTAAGTATAAGTCGTGTTCCCGGCAGACTATCGTGAACAGACGATACGGGCTATTTTACGTAATATCTACGCTGATAGTTTCGGAAGAGCGTGGTTAAAATATTCACCGACACTAGAGCAGCACTAGATCTTTCTTTCGACGTAACATTTATTTTCGAAAATGAAAATTAATGAAAACGAATAACAAACAGTTGTTAAAATGTAAAAATGGGTCGGAAAGTGGTGCATTTATTAATTTATAGTGACAGAGACAGTAATTTCAACAGAGTAAAAATAATGGCAATTATAAAAGGGGGAAACGTCTTTCTATTCTTTTCTGTCCGAGTGTTAGAAAAATCAGGAAACGCGAGATTTTCGATAGGTGTGCCTGAGAATACAATTTACGACGTTTGAATTCAAATAATCTTCTCGTTATTTCGACGGGATGGACACAAGGTATGCAATAATGATTATGCGTGCTATCATCGTGCGAAGCTGCCAGTTGTAGCTTGTTTAATGGTATCTGCATCCTCTCCTAATTATTGCAGTATAATAGTGGCACTAATCGATTCGTGCGATGCCTACAAACGGCTTTTCCAACCGCTGAACGTTCTTACCGAGAGCAAACGCATTGTTCGCGTGCGTTACTTAACGTTGAATAGAACTGCACATTATAAATTCAAAAGGAACAAATGTTCGCGCGCGACGCGTACGATCTCTTAATTTCTGTTTCTTTCGAGCGAGCGGAGAAGCCGGAATCTGCCGGCGTGAATATTTAATTCCGTCGGGCGAACGGGCAAACAGGACGAGAAGAACGTGTTTGCTTTTTAGAAGCGTGATATTTGTCGTGAAATTTCGCGCGCGTCGATAAAAGCGTGCCCCCCCGACACAAAACGCAAATGCGGTCCCGATAAGCCAGGACGGCGAAAACGCGGAATGTAAACACGTTCGCGAATAAATCGTTTAGCGCGTTGCTTCCCAGCCGCATGGCCGACTAAATAGTTCTTGTCTTTATAATTACCACCGTTAGCCATAGGGTCGTTAAGTTCATTAGCTGTTAGCATTGTCCGACCGCTTAGCAGATTACTATTTACCGTGCATCGCGAGAACGAGCCAAGTATTCGGACAAATTGCGATAATAAATTTTTGGGAGCGGCGATACGTTGAAGACAAAACATGGTAACGAGGATCTGGATCAATTAGCGCTCGAATTTTGCCCGATTTGTCCGTGATCGCGAATTTGAATCATCCAGCTTCTTCGCGAAGAAAGTAATTACGCAATTGCAACAAATGATGTACCAGGAACGCGAGTACAAAACACGTGTCGGGCGAGGCCACGTAAGCCAGGATTTTATAAGGGCATACGACTCGTTGAAATAGAAAAGGAACGCGCGGAATACATTCCACGAAAAGCAAAATAAAGAGATAAAGACAGGAGAACGGGGGGACACGAGTGCCACGCTACTGAAGAGAAAAAAAGTTACTTTTGTGCAACATGCGGTGTATACAAACGAAGAAATTAGTTTTCAAACATGTGGTTTCAAAGCAAGAGCTGCTCGAGGACTATTTAAAGAACTGTTGGGTTTGTAAAAGATTTCAATAAACTCGAGCATACTTTCTATTCCATTTGTCAACTTGGTGGAAAATTCTTTAAACTATTGTAATATTTTAATGTATCAACAGAATAGAAATAGACTGGTTTGTTTGATAGAAAACGTGCAGTGAATGTATCGATCTGTTTATGAGAACAGTAGCGAAAGTAGGAGGTAATGACGATCATTGAAAAGAATAACCGCGGAGGAAGAGGGAAAGAGTTTCATTCATACGTTAGGGAAGATTTTTACAACCCTTCGTCTGGTATGTCGGAGCGTAACGAAAGCGTGTGTAGTAGCGGGAATAAATCCGCTAGTTAATAGATAACTGGGTCGTCGTCCTCGAGAGGTCATCGAGGCTTTTGGCAAAGTGCGAGCAAAGAAACGAAGGCGGGGATCCGTCTTCCCGAGGTGCCTACGTCTAGCAAAGAAGCTGTGCAACGTGTTAGAAAAAAAGTGGAACGGGGTCAAGGCGGGTTCGTCGCTCCTTTTTTATTCGCAGAAAAATTGCCCGAAGCAACTTTTCATTTTTTTTGTCCCCGAACGAACGAACTATCTTCAACTTCATAATTTATTGTGTTTTCGAGCTTTCCGCGGACGGAACGGTCTTTATCGTCGTGTTTTATCGCGCCGGGATACCGCCGTTACCGCCATAAAACAGACTTTGGCACGCGCTTCAACTCGAAACAGTACTTTTTAATCGCGACGATCGTGTACCGCGCCACGAACGAAATCGTCGTTTGCTCGCTTTCGAGCGCGAAGAATAAAAAAGCAGAGACGTGTTCTCGCTAAAAAAAAAAAAGAGAGATGGAAGAAGGAACGTAAGTTAATCTCGTAGTGATTTTTGGCTCACCTGACACGCTTCGCGTTCTTTCCGCTCGCGCCGATTTCGTGTTCCAGCATCGTCCAATTTTCGAGAGCTCTTGAGCGTACTTGCGACGTCGTGATCTCGCGCGGTTCCATTAAAAGGAACAATAATGTCCTCCGAATACTAAAAACGTATGGAAGTCTCGCACCTTCCATTCGTCACTGTTTCGTTTAAGGATTATCGTAACAAAGCTGTCCGGAAACGTTCACAGCGGTATTCTTCTACCGAAGATCTTGCCTCGTTTCACGATGCACATCTCGAACGAAACTTCTTATAATTATTCTTGCGAAAGTAACTCGATTATCGATAGTCGTCGTACGGAACCGTCCCCTCGGGTTCGTCGTCGACGCGTTCGTTAGCAGACAATGCGTGGAACGTTTGATCGTAGAAATCGATGAGGCGATCGGCTCTTCTCGTCATCTTCGAAAAAATGATTCCCTTCCGCTGGCTCTTCCTCCACGAGAAAACGTCCATCGTGTACAATCAACGGCGATTTAATAATTCTTACGGTTTATCGGTGACCGGAAACATTTACTACTGTTCCAAGTCTTTGCTGGTCGCTACTGAATTTCACTGTTTGCATCGTGCACAGTCAAATATCCAAGCTCGACGCCTCGTTATCCATGACACGCCTCAACGACAAACTTGCTCGACTGGATTGAAACACGTCGTTGCTCGGATTTTCATTGTTACTCCGTTTTAGCGTCAAACAGAAATCGCGGATTAGTTCGGCACAATCTTTTCCCGCTTTGAATGCTCGCCCTAAAAAGTGCAAAATGAAAAGCTGCTCTTTATTGCTCTGTGGGGGGGACTCGGTCGTTTCCACGGGATCAGGAACGCTTGTATCGCGCGGATTTAAACTCCGTTCTTGTTTCGCGAATTCTCGTTTTTAGATTACTCTGTCCGCGTTTCTTATAAAATATATTCGTCGATCCTCTTCCCGAGCCCCAGAAGCGTATAATTCACGGTATCGACAGGAATTGTCCTACTTCTCGGCGACGGAGTAAACAGGAGGGCGTCAAAATTGAAGAAAAGTTCCTTCGACAGGAGCGTTTCGAACGGAATTTTACGAAAAGGAGATTTAGACAAATGGACGAGAGAAACACGGAACACAGAGGCGAGTATTAAAGTCATTAGGTAAATTGAGCGAGTTTAACATTTTGTTCGGCACGTAAGAGAAAGAGGATGCCGAAATTCTCGAACATGTTAGAAGAAGTGAATTTTCCAGCAGTGCTCTTCCATCTCGTTGAGCTCATTTTTCTTCCGCGTCTTTCAACCGCCCTCCGCGGTAAATCGTCGGTTCGATATACATTTTTCTAACCCCTGTGTCGGATATCCTGAAAATTTGTACGTCGACGATACGCGTACATTCAACGGAAACGTATGAAACGCGGAACGGACGAAAAAAATAAGAAATAATCGTGCCCCGACATAAATGAACTTCTATCAAAATAATTGGAAATAAAACTGGGTCGTAACAAACGTTATTTGTGTTAAACGAATTTGTTCGACCATCTGCAAAATCAAAGAGACAAAATATTTCATTTTTATTCCATTTCCTTTATCGCGAATTATTCTATAATTAATAACTTTGAAAATTAACGCAAACGGTTGGTCGAAAACGTTTAACGTTAATAATAAGTGGCTCGTGACGACTACATCCAACGTTAATTGAGTTCTATCAAAATGTTTTGGTAGAAAATTCAACCGGTCGTAATACTATACTTCGGTAATTGTTTCGTAATTGTTAAATTTAACATTTATCGAAATATCTCGTCGATGTAAGCGGTGGCTGATGTAGGGCACGTAAAACGGAAAGTAGGAGTCCCGTGAAATCGTGTAAAATGGGATGAAATACAAGTCGGACAAATCCTAAATGTCGTCCATTTTTACACCGTGGATCTGTTCACGGCGCGAAGACTTTACGGGGAATTTTGTATCCCGACACGGCAACAAAAACGAAACACGGTATCGTATATTCTCGTGAAAATCATACCGTTCGCAATGCCGGCGCTGCTTTGTAATTTATCTCGATATCCGCCATATCGTTTTATCAGAATGACTAGTGCTTTCCGATAACAAGATATCGACCTCTGGGAAAACCTACGAAAAACTTTCTGTTCTTGACTATCGCGTTTCGTCCAACTGCAATTTTTCAATTTCAAAATTTCGTTGTTTCGAACACGGACGGTTTGTTTTCAGCGACAGCGAGCCACAAACGCAGCAACCTTCCGGCGAAATTTATTCATTTATTCTTATCGCGGCGATCAATCGTTAAACAGTTTCTACGGGAAAGTTGTAACGAACAATGAAAGAAAAATCGAGGTAGAATTTTCCAAAATAAATAGCGTAAAATAGTGTAGAACGTAGCTAGGCTGCTCGAAGAATAACAAACGGACGTTAGTCCGTTTCCAGAATTAAATTCATTCCACCGGGAGTATTTCGACATTTTTCCGTCATACACGGGCGCAACAACGAGATTATGTTTCGCGAGGCGATCACTGTACCGGAACCTCTGAGGCACGATGCAGCCACAAACTATTCGAAACATTCTAGCCAATCGCCAGGATGGAACACAAAGGATAGGATATATACCGCGTATTCGAGAGTAATATAGTTTATTCGTGCAACGTGACCGGAAACGACATACTTTGGGGGGAAAAATGAAAATATGTCAAGGATGGAAAACCATGTCTGAAAAATTCCACGAGCTTCTTCGCGACGATAATAAACTGCGAGATATGCGGAGAAAAATACATACGATGACGCGGTGTATCAGGAAAAATGCAATTTAAACGATTAATTCGAAGAAACAAGGAAGTTGATAAATCGATGCAATTTCGTTATACAAGTTTAAATTGCCTTTAGATTCCCACTTGGATAAAAAGGAACACACGATCAGTCTGTTAATCACTACCAGTCCATTGAGTCAATTAAAGGATCAAAGTGACGTCTGGCGTATCTCGGAACACCGAACGTCGAGCTTCCATGGCCGACTCAAAGGGAATAATTTCCGCGTGCAATTATACGAGGGCTGTTTAAGACTGTTTGAATGACCAAATGGAATAGTTTGCCGTTAATAGCGGGTTAGGCGAAAACGAAGCGACGCGCAACCGGAAGAAAAATGATAATTGCGGGGCGTGAAGAGAATAATGGCAGTTTTGTAACTGGTCGACTCGCCGGGAGGAAAAATAATAATTGTATGGAACTTACGGCTCGTAATGTCTTTAACCTTTCATTCTTACGTTGGGCCGTGTACAGGGATACGTTGGAGTAGGCTCGACGAGAGTAGAGGATTGCTCTCGAGGCAGAGAAGTGACACGGAGTAAAAGAATGATGGAAGAAGGGGAGAACGTGGAAGAGACTATTTCAGTGTTATGCATGCTGGAACGCATTGTGGCGAGCCGCAACACTGATTAATAATGCTCATGGTGCGACAAAAGGGAACGGGAGTGAAAGACGCGAGAGTAAAACGAAACCTAATACGAAATCGCATTGTTGGAGAGGGGCTTTGTTGAAAAGGAAATATAGAAAGTCTGCTGGTTATTATGCACCGATGTTTTCTTATTTGCTCGTTTGCTGCGGATTCCGCTAGGATTTAAACGAACGACGATATCAAAGGGAGGGATAAAAACAACGTAATCCTGTTTCGACGCTAATGCCTGCGAACACTCGTCGTTGTGTACGACTTAACGTGAAATTTAGTTTCGACGGGACGTATGATTCCTGGGACAAATAACGAGCAATAAATAACGCTCCACGTACACCGACAGAAATTCAAGTACCGCAAAAACCGCATTCGGACCAGTTGCAGCGGTGCTAACGACTTTACTGTTGTACACTGCGTGACGTTGTATACGTTGTACGCGTCGCGATATGATCGAAGGTTGGGCACGCAGGATTTTTGTACGTCCGTGCACGTCGATTCCTGCTATAAAGATCGTCGTAGCAATTAACAAGTGTCCGTAGTACGCTAAAAGATTGAAGCTACTCCCGGATCGACCAAGTCAGACAGTCTCGGAAGGAAGCGAGGTGCACGGGGTCATTGTCCTCGAAAAGGCGCGCAGCGTAGCGTCGTATTTCAGGGGAAAACTCGTGAACCAATAACCCCCGGAAATCCCGGCAGACGGGAGAACCCGGAATACGCTTACCCCCGAAGGAAAAAAGTCGATCCGGGGATACCGGCGAGGGCGAGTGACGGCCGCGGATCCACTTAAAGGTACGCGTGAACCGTTGAGCAGGTAGACGTGTACGACGTTTACCGTTCGCTCGAGCATTTATCATCCATGGTCGGCGGCGCGTGGGCGAAAAAGAGGAGCCGAAGGAACGGTGGCGTTTAAACGGCGTGTGGTCGTGTGTCGTGTGTCGTGTGCCGGCGTCGCGCGTCACAACATTGCATTTATCTTGGCACACACGCGATCGGTACGCAACGGGGAGGCAGACAGGCAGGAGTGACGAAAGAACGAAGGAAGCGTCGTCGTGCCGCGCCGCGGCGTATCGCGTCACGTCGCGTCACCACGCGTTGCATTTCTATCACACACCCACTGCACGTCCGGCGAACGAGCACCACGAGCCGATGCGCGGCCCCTTTGTGTCCGTTTGCCTGCGGACCGAAACGGACAGGAGCGTGCTCCCGACAGGGAAAAGAAAAGTCCCGGCGCGGCGAGCACGTCGCGTTCTCTCAGGGCCGTACGAAAAAATCCGAGGGTCAGAGGTGCCAGATAAGAGGGGTGCTCAGACAGGGGTGAGAGAGAAGGGGGAACGGGGGCGGAGAACGTGTTAGATCCGCGTGTGTCTTTTGGGCTGCCGGTCCCAACGTTGACTGCACCATCCGACTCTATCGCGCTACTCGCCACCACCACCAGTATCACCACCAACGCCGCCACCGCCGCCGCCGCCGTCGACGACGACGACGACGCCGTCGGTTCGCGTTGGCTATCGATTTTTCCGCGCAGCCTCCGCGGCCGGAGCACACAGACCGTCGACGTCTGCTGGATAGTTCTAACATCGTTGCTTGCTACTTTAACCCCTTTCTCTCACCTGGCCTTTTCCTTTTCTTCGCGTTGCATTGCCTAAAGTAACGCCCGACCGGCTACAGCGCGACGTTTGCTATTCTTCGGCCCGCAAGCTAACGACGGTTCTCCCTTTTCACTCGAGTGCGTCTCTCGTGACAGAATCCGTAAAAATCCGGTTCAGTATCTCGCACAGTTTATGGTAGCGTGTCGCAGTGTTGCCTGCACGTCTGGAAGGTAAAGCACGCGGACAGTCGGTCGCATATGGCCCCATCCATTAAAATTTTAAGGCTCTTTCGAGACCCTTTTGTTCAATCTTTACATCTTACTAGCTTTTTTGCTGTACGAGACTGTTCACTTTACATGCGAAAGATCAACACTTTCCTTCCAGGTCTTGTACAAAATTTCTACGATTAATATCTCTAAAATATGCGACGCCAAAATCCTGGATTTCATCTCTCGGATCGCAGAGTTTAAATTGTTTCCCACTCTGTGCTTTTTAAAAACAGTTTACGCTGGCCTGATCTTTGCTTTCGGGCGAAGGTTATTTCTCGCACACGCGGAAAGATATCCTGACGCTATTGCGCAACTTCCGTGTTTAGAATTCAGAGTCGCCCGATTCTAGGAGAACTATTATTGCTAGCTCTCCGACATTTTTCAGCCAGGATTCCTCTACCCCAAAGTATCGTTTTAGAACTAGTAAAAGCATAGCACCTAATGCATGAATGCATCACGTATGTGCGTTGCTAGATTGTACGTATCATTCTATAAACTCCCGTAATCGATTGCAATTTTAGCCTCGAGGTTCTATAAACGATTCTATTCGCATCAGACGTCGCTGATAAGTTGTACGTATAACGCATTCCATTTTTGGAATCAACATCACCCACAGAACCAGACAATCAGAAACTTTTGCACGTGATCTGATAATACAAAGCATTGTGGAAATTTCATCGTCAAACGCAGGGGTAAGATCATAGTTAAAACTGAAAACCGGTTTGTATCTGAATTCAATTATTGCAATCTATCGGTCGGCTAAACGAAATTCTATATTTTTAGAAAATTATTCGCTAATTGTCAGCAATATTAAACTTTCTATTAGTGTAGCCAAACAAGAGTAACATTGTCGTCAATATGTTCCAGGTCAAAACGTTCTCAAATTATCCTCGCATTACCAGGCACACCAGGCTAGAGGTGCACGTTTGTAGACAGAATCGAAATAGCTTAGAATGCTTGTCCCTGAACGTATTTGTAGAATCGATTCTAACTTTTCGTCTTCACTCTGTAACTGTGTAAATGTTGTTCAATTCGCCAAGAGTTATCCAAATAACAAAATAATAATACCGCCTTCCACTTAAGAGAATTTAGGAGACCTCGTTCTTCCAACAGTAATCATACAACAATTTGCTGTATAAGAAAACAAATGGCTAGCCTGAACCATTTAATTAAAAGAAATAAATAAATAAAGTCGATACCTTTATTGGTTTCTGAGAAAACAGATTGCAACGCTTTATTCGGACCACGTAGTATAGTAAAATTGCTCTACATAAAAACAGAACCCACATCGTTTGTATTTACGTTGGTTATAAGACAGAATTTAATTTTTTAATCTTCTGCGTAACATTAATTTTAATAATATCATCACTGTTCCCGATTGGATTTCTTTCCGATTTTAGAGTTTAATCGCGATTTGCCACTGTAAAGATAGAATGCAGATTGCATTTCCAGTGGCTTTATGCATCCCCTGCGCCACTTATTGATCGCAATTCTGTTGATCTTTCTTCCATGCCCCCGTTACGGCGGAGTTTGAAATCTCTCGGTGATTTTATGAAGGAGTTGCGCGTTCCATTGTTTGTGACGAACGACGATCACTGCTTGTGTCATCCAAGTGTTTACAGTCACTTCGCTATTTTACTGATATCATTCTTAATCTTTGCCGTCGATTTATTCGAAACGAAACGTTCACCGCGACAGCATTGTCATCGATCCCCGTAGAAATATTCCTTGTTAATATACAACGCCGCATTCCATTTTTCACCGAGCTCGCCACGTTATAAAACTTTGAAACGTTCTTAATACTTTTCTTAAAGCGAAGTCAACTTCGTAACAATGAAGCCCGCTGAAAAATACCGGGAAACATTTTTCAGAAAAATGGTGCTCCAAGGAAGACATTCTTACCCGAAAGGAAGAAACGTCCCGACGGTAGAATGCACGGTTTTCTGGAAAGATTTTTAGGAAAAAGAAAAGCGAAAGCAAAGAGGGCCCCCACTTCCACTATCATATTATGCGGTCTTTCATTCGTTTTTCTACCGTCTCGTTTGTCGGCGGTTCCTTCAAAGCTAAGAATGGCTAACAGTCGGCATTCTCGCTAACGAACGAGTCAGAAAATCTACGCCCAACCTCGGGGAAATATCTGCGTTCGTTAGAGAAAATCGATCGGCAACATCGAGCCATTTTTCTGGATTTTAAACGTCCAACGAACGCGAAAAATTCTCTCTGTAAACCGAAAAAAAAGCCGCGCTAAATATCGCGTTAAATCCGATTTTTCTCTCGAGGAAAGACCCTTATCCTTTTTTTTTTTTTCTACACGTCACGAGGGTTCTGAAACGTCCGGGAACCCTTGAATTGCTTCCTGGACATCTCTTACGTGGAAAAACCTTTTTGACAGCCCCGACAGTTCCTGATGATTCACAAAGGAAAAAAGAAAGAAAACTTGCGCTTTGTGCTTGCGCACTTTTATTTCCACGCGCGTTCGCTATTTAAGCACTCTCTTTGATCAAATATTTGCTCAACGTGTTAGCATTCTAATTAATACTTTCAACAGTGTACGTATGTAACGACAACTGTATTGCTAATTGCGTCGAAGTCTGGTGAAAAGATTAAAATTTATGCAAATTTAATTGGACGATGTATACGTAAAAATTCCATTTGTTGTGATAAAAGTTCATTCGTATGATAAGATGAAAGGCAAGCGTAGATGAGAATGGGGAAAAAAATTCGGAACGAATCGCTTGTCCTCGAGGTGCCCTGGTCTGATCATGGACAGATGACTTCTACTTGATGCTAGTAGTGCTACTCAATCTGTGACCAGACAATAAAGGAAGTGTAACGCTTACGCCAGCGAGTTTCCCGCGATAATAGGTGATCTTGGAAATGAAAAAAAGCGAAGAAGAAAAGAACCTTCGGATGCCTTTATATAGGGCGCTAACGGCATAAAATGGCGTACTTATTGGTAACCGATAATCTACGAAAATCTAACGTAAAGTCACGCAACGATACAGTTTTCGGGTGCAATTTATAACCAACGATCGATCACACGTTCCGTACAAGCACGTAGATCGCTGAATTATAGATGTCCGTACGATTTTTATTGGGTTAATGTAATTACGTGATAATCATAGGATAGAACGACAGGATGGAAAGAACATTTCAAGGAAGTGGTTGAAATTTAATTTGTCGTTACAGCTTTGACGATGAACCGGCAGAAATTAATTCAATCTGCGCCCAGAAGGATGACCTTAATGAGATGCGATTCTCCGAATTCAATATTCCCCCCCGGGGCGGGATGATTTTGTTCCCGATGTTCTTAGAACCTCAACTGTTTCGCCTGGCATCTAAATACTAAACAGCGCTATTTCCGTGCGGGTAAATCCGGCCTTACGATGACACGATTTCCGTACGAGGTGTTAAAGTCCCACGCGTGCACGTATATTCGTTGATGCCGTATTCGCGGAAATTAAACAACCGTGCGGGTACAATGGAGATATCAGCGAAAAAGACGAGTCGCAGAATGTGCTCTTGAATGACGCACGAAATTTTTGTTTCCGTGCAATCGCACACGGAAAATGCGGAATACGCTTTCATACGCCGACAGAAAGTGCAGAGTATTTGGAATGCTGCTGGTAATTTGAAATACCGAAACATTATATGGAAAATACCGCTACTCCGAATTATTGACACCGTAAGAAAATGATTACTTTCGGATAACTTTTGTTGTAGAAAACTTAAGCAGTTTTCCTACGATATTGCTCAGCTTTTATTTATTCCCATCCTTTGTCAGAATTTGTTATCAGTTATGAACAAACTGGTATTCCAAATATGCGCTGCGCTTCCTCTGTACATTTTTCCGCGCATTTGAATCAGGATACA